GTAATGAGCCTCTTTTTTTTTTTTAATTTAAATTTTTGTGGATAGATGATGTATATATTTATAGGTTGTATGAAATATACAGGCATGGAATGCATAATAATCACAGGTCAAAATGGGTAGATAAAGGATTTTTCATAAGAGTTGTCAAAGTGTCTTTTAGAAATAATCAATATTATACATGCTCACACTTATATAACAAAAAGGATTGATTATCTTTGGTTTATGGAGACCATCTACCCACAGTCTGTCTGTCATCTACCATACAACTGAGCCCTAGTCTTTCTGTCAATCTTGTGAATAATCATGTGAATTGGTCCCTGATGTTTAGGAAGCCACAGAAATCTATTAACCAATTATTCTAATACAGCTCTGTCTGTCTCTGCATTTCCTACTACACATCTATCTCTCTTGCAGCCCAAATAAAATAAACATGTCGATGGAACCCGAATGGTGTGTAACTATTTAAATAAATTATATTTACATTGTTATGATTCATTAACTTTTTGTTCAGAACCTCACTAGCTTACAATATCGGACTAACGTCTTAGGATGAATCTAAAGTGTTCTTGCATGATCTGCCTCAATACTTTTCTGACCTTATTTCCTATTAATACTTTCTGTTAATTCTGTGATTCTGTTTCAGTCACATTGGCTCCCTCACTGTTCCCAAACAATCTAGGAATAAACCCAACTCAGGACCTCTGAACTTGATATTTCCTTCTCTTATATTCTTTTCCCCTAAATATCTAAGTGTCACATGTCCTCCCTTCTTTCAGGTGTTTACTTAAATGTCACCTACTCAAGGAGGTCTTTCCTGTTCAATACAAAATTGTGACTCCTCTCCATGACATTTCAAACTCTGTTTATGTTTCCTTTTTTCCCTTAGTATTTATTACTCTTTTATGCACAATACGTTTTTACTTTTGTATAATATGTTGTTCATTGTCTTCCACTTAGAAATTGGGAGGTCTCCACTAGGGTAGAAATTTTGGCTACTTTTGTTTATTGTTGTATGTCCAGTTCTAGCAACACCACCTAGCACGTAATAGCTGCTCAAAAACTCTTTGCTAGGAGGTAATTGGTACCACCACTACTGCCATTTGCAAGTATGGGAGACTGGGCTCAGTTCCTGTCAACAGGGATTTTTCTTCCTCTACTGAGACACAGTCTAGGTGATTTTATTCCCTGATCATCCTCTTTTCCTTGAGAATTTCAGAAGTGCTACTTGTCTATTTCATTCTTCTCATTTGAAAAAAACTATGAAAACTTGAACAAGTTGTTTAAATTTTTTTGGCTAAGCCTCAGAATTTTTCATCAGTAAAAATAAAATTACTTTTTCTCCCTGTAGTCTTGTGGTGGCACTAAACACAATTATTTAGATTAAAAGCACTTAAGTTTTGGTATGTGACATAATTCATATTTGAAAAAAATATAGTTCTAGTTGTCTTCCCTGTTTTTACTTCAGAGTTAGAAATTTTAAAGAAAATTCATTTAGGTAACAACTTGTTATAAAGTAGAGTGAGTCAGTAAAGACATGCGGTGAAGATACTATGAAGTTTGTCCTTTTTTGAAAACAGAGAAATTTCTCTATTAGCTTCTAATGCAGTATGAGTATAAATATGCTAAGGTGACATTCTTCACACCCTTCAATTCCCTGTCATCATCTTCCTAGCTGTCTCTTATCTAAAGAAACTATGCTGATGATTTGCAGAAGATTTTGTGTTTCTGAGGCTAGGTGCTTTTGTGTAGATGTCTCTAAGTGAGTATCCAATGCTCTTCCACAAAGAAAATGCTCTGGTTTGTTTACTGTAGCTATTTCCCAATTACAACATGACATCTAGATTTCTTGTCTCCCTAAATAACTGCTAGCCACTTAATTATAGGCTGGGTAGTATGAAGCAGATGTTTTTAGAACATCTTTGACATGGGGCTTTGGGAGTCCATAGGATTTCAGTTAAGGATTGTAGCATGCTTAGGGGCTGTCACTAACCTGAAGCCTATTCTGCACATGGACCAGTTTGAGAGCAAGGGTGTTTATCTCATCTATATGCATGAGTGTGTGAGAAAATATGTATATGTTTACATTGAAGATGGGTCAGTCCTTGGGTCCCAGGATGTTCAGAGGTACAAAGAAGGAGGACCAAAGTATCTGTAACAACAATTATGATCTTTTTCAGCTCACTTTTATCCTTTCTGTGATTCCTTAATATGTGTAGAGTCCTAGGAACTGCCATTTTCTACACGTCACAGGCAATAGTTCTTTTCTCTTCTCTTCTCTTTTCTCTCTTCTCTCTTCTGTCTTTGCTCTCCTCCCCTCCAGAGTCTCACTCTGTCACCCAGGCTGGATCTTGCCTCACTACAACCTCTACCTCTTGAGTTCAAGCAATTTTCCTGCCTCAGCCTCCCAAGCAGCTGGGATTGTGCTAATTTTTGTATTTTTAATAGAGACAGGGTTTCACCATGTTAGCCAGGCTGGTTGCGAACTCCTGATCTCTGGTGATACACCCACCTCAGCCTCCCAAAGTGCTGAAATTATAGACATCAACTGCCAAGCCTGACCAGCAATAGTTCTTTTGCTAATCCTCTGAATGAATCAATCAAAATAAGGTCAATAGGACTCTTGAATTACTAATGTGCAAAGTATAAGCATATATTATCCACTTTAGGTAACCTCATTTTCAGCACCCTTAAGATTAATTATATAGAAAATATATAATTAATCAAATAATCATAGAAAAATAAGCTTTTCCTAGTTGTCTTATAATGTATAAAAAGGATAAAGGATTAGGATTATAAATGAATAATTACTATAGAAAGATGCTTGGGAATCTCAGGAGGTTTGTATATCAGCTTGCTTAGGCAGTGAATATGGACAGTACTTCACTAATCCTTTCTTACAGTCTTGCAGCTTTATTTAAGACTAGCTTATATTCTCACCTTCTTTCCCTGTATTTCCCTTCTCCCAGTGTGATAGCAAGAGCAGAGTGATAACATTTTTCATGAGAATCCACACTGAGGTGGGGCAGAGCAAGGTGCAGCTGGAGATTTCTTGTGGTGGGTTTTTGTTTGTTTTTCTTTTAGGCAGCAGGTGCAAGAGTCCTTGGCAGGTACATTTTAGATTCTAGAGCTATCTGTTGACAAGCTGTAAAAGCTCTATGGTGTTAAGAACTCTAGAGAGTTTGAACTCCGGGTAACTGGAGTGTCCCTTTTGACAAACTAAACTTGGTAAGAAATACTTCTAAAATAAATTTACATTAGGAGCTTCCTTGCACCAGGGTGGTAGACATAACAAAAGCATCTTGAAAGTGGTATCTCCTTTCCTAATGTGTCTGAGTAGTTTCTCTTCCCATTATCATCTTACTCATTCTGCGTGTCTTCTTTAAGCACCTCACTCTATAAGACTGCTTCCTGTCATCACCCCTCCTCTTGCCTTTCATACCTATTTTGAAGGACAGCTGAAGTGAGAACCTGGACATTTCTGAAAAAACAAAAGGGAAAAGCTGTTAATGCTTCTGACCACGCAGATTTCCTCCCTTGCTTTGATTATGTTGTGGGGAAAATCGGCAGGAGTATTACATGGCTATGGATTGCCATTTCATAAAATATCTTCCTTTTTGCGGATCGGGCTTGGAAAATACTTGAGAACTCTTTGTTAAACATCAGAAATGTCTGCTCTGGTTACTTGCTGATGATCCTTAGCAGTGACCATATGGCTTAGCATCTTAAGCACTAGACTGTGACTTAGGAACTGCGTTTTGATATTCAAGAGTTCATCTTCTGTTATTGATGCCAGCTGAGCCACCATCCATAAAATGTGAATAATGAACTACTCTGGAAGGTAAAGAACATTAATAAATTCTTCCCATCATTCTGAAGTGATATAAATATGTGATAAATTATGGTAGAGCACATGGTAGAAGAAACACATTCTGAGTACTTCAGAAGATGGATGCCTTTAATTTTTTGGATTACTTTGGGTATGATGGGTTTGGCAGTTAATTCCATGGGTATATGTACGTGTAGGTTATGTGTATAATACTAAGCCAGTAATTCCCAAACTTTTCACTAACCCAATACTGTTTTCCTGCGCTTTCATACATATATATTTCACATTTAAGAGATTGTGTTCACTCCAAACTTGCTTTTATCAATCAATGTTAATAGGTGCATTCCTCCATTAAAAAGGATCACTTTCAGGACTTATGGTTATCAGATAATAGTTAATATTCTGGATGTTACAACTTGAGACACAGAAAACAAATTTAGCCTTTTTGTCAATCATTGAAGTTAGCTGTGAGAAAGTTTGTGGTTTTGATGGAATAGTCAGCAGACTATAATTTTCTTCCTTCCTGTGTTTTGGGGCTTCTAACAACCAGGAACAGCAGATTCTGAACAACTTGATAAAGTATTGCCGAATTCAGCTTTAGATGCAGTTTCTCTAGGCAAGTGTAGTTCTTGGGAAATTAGAGCATGATATTATTATATATTAAAAGTAATGGTAGAAACTGCAATTACTTTTGCATCAACCTAATAATTTCAAAAATCTTTGGGTTACTTATTCCAGAGAATAAGGTACAAATAACAAAAATATTTTGACACAACTGTAATTAACAATGATAAAATAACTTTAGGTGAGTCAAGAGAAAGCATCTTTTCTAGTGATCATTTTGGCTTATAAGGTGTGTTACAGAACCGTCACAGTCGCATAATTTTTCATTCTTCACGCCTGCTGATCCGCAATTGAAAACACTAGAGCAACCTTTCTTTTCTTTAGAAGAAACACTACTATATAAATTATTATAAATATGAATTACTAAGTTTTAATACTGTAGCTATATAGGTTACTAGTTTTAAATTTTTAAATAATATATTTGTATTATTCACCTATTCCTAATGCAACTACATTATGTGCCAAACTAGGGTGGGGTAGAGTGTGCATGCACTCAAGAAACATGATTCTGAGTTAAAACATGAAGTGATTAATAACATTTCTTCTCCAGAGACTGGATCTCCAATTACAGCATCGTGCATTGGATTAGGTAATTCTAAAACACCTCCACCAGGGCAAGCAGGAAAAAGTGTTCCAGGATACAATGGTAAGGAATGACCCTGATAATATGTAATGTTAATAAATTTGGCATTTTCTTGAATCTAGTGTGTATTATGTTGCATGAAATGAACTAGATGCTCAATAAGAATTTGGATGAATGAATACCTTGTATTAAAAATGAATGCCTTAATTTTTCCTGTCAAAAGTAAAGTTGTGGATTTCCAGGATATGTTCTAAATAACTGTTATAACCCCCAAAATAATATTATTTGTAAGATAGGTTAGGAATATGGGTGTGAAATTACTATGAAGGAAACATTTGCAGGGGGCCCAGTACTTTACATATATAATTTCATTTCATGCCAAAGTATATTTAATTCAGAGCTATTATTACTGTTTTAGAGATGAGTTAACGAACTAGTTAACAGGCTAAATAATCATCTTAAGGTAACACTGCTAGTTAGTTACTGGGTACAATGCAAACCATTGCCCTCAGAATTTGCTTGCTTTCATTTCAAAAGCTACAGTTTCTTATTATATATTACACATGCTGCCTTTTAATTTAGAAGTGAAGACAAAGTTTTTAAACCTTATTATTTAAAAATAAAAACAAACCAGAAGTGGTGGCTCACACCTGTAATCCCAACATTTTGGGAGGCCAAGGCAGGTGGATCACCTGAGGTCAGGGAGTTTGAGAACAGCCTGGCCAACATGGTGAAACCCATCTCTGTTAAATATACAAAAATTCACCAGACATGGTGGTTTGTGCCTGTAATCCCAGCTACCTGGGAGACTAAAGCAGGAGAATTGCTTGACGCTAGGAGGCAGAGGTTGCAGTAAGCTGAGATCGTGCCACTGCACTCCAGCCTAGGCAAGGCACAGCAAGACTCTCTCTCAACGAGCAAATAAATGAATAAATAAATAATAATAAGAGGGAGGATTCCAAAAGAAAGCATTTCTTTGATGCTGGCTTTATGTGACTAAAAGCTATAATCTGTCAATTTTTGGTTTTAAATATTTGGTAGTAATCATTATTAAATAATTTCCCTTGGACAGATCTCCCGAGGTATATGAATTATACAAGTCATTTAACTTTTCAGACATTGTTTTCTTATTTCTAAATAGGAATAATATTTTCTATATGCTTTCCAGGGCTTCTGCTCGGTGTTGTTAGGCAACAAAGCATTAACCCAGTGCCTACCAGTATAAAGACAGTGTAAGTCTTAGCTAGTAGTGTTACTAATATTTCAAAAAATCCAGAGGACTGACTTGATTTAGACTCACATATTCATTTTACAGACCAGGAAAATGAGGCACAGAGGTTTTGTAATTTGCATAAAGTCACACAATTTGGCTTAATAGACTTATGAAGAAAGCCCCGCTTTGGGAAACAAAATATGATTCCTGACATGTTTCTTATTTGCGTATAAATTACAAAATTCAGAGATTTGTCTTTTGCTTCTCTAACATAAAAATATTGGATTTTTCTCCTAGGACAATGACTAGTTACAAGAAAATGGATCATTTGGTTTAACCTAGAAGATATATTTATAAAAAGACGCTTTAGATTTTTTTTATTCAGGGCAGAAATAGGTATTCTGTGAAGTCAGTGACTTCTCTAGCCCTGAAAAGGTGATGAACTCAGATTTAGTGAAATCCTCTGTTTGAACAGCCTGTCATCTCTGCTCCTTTTATCAGAAAAATTGCTTTTGTGTTGAGACATTTTTAGGGGTTTCTGATTGTGGAAGATGTTAAACACATTTCTCTTTTAGTATTTCAGTACCATTTTTATATCTAATTGTAAGAAATAGTTAAGCTTTGATGCCCATGGAACTTCAATACAGAAGTTTCTCACTGTCTGAAAGCAACTGGCTTGCAGACAGTACAGGTTAAACGTTTATAACCAAGGAACCAGTGACTTTATGACTGATGATTTTTTATGTATTTTTATAACTTTTATGATTATTTAGAGATGAAAACTGTAATGTAATATTCTGTAGTATAATAAAAAAGACATCCTTTTAGGAAAGAAAAGAAACCATTGTGTATAAAAAATTTAACACATTCATTGAGTACCATATGCAAGCTTGTTTCATATACATTTTTAATATACTCCTTGCATAAGCACTATGAGAAAGAAATTTCTCTCATTTCATAGACAGGGAAACTGAATGGGTAACAGAATGTGTGCAGAGGCATATAGTGATTTGGCCACTGTGCTGATATTTAGGGAAACAAAGATGTATTAGCCCTGGCCTCTGTGAACTCACAACCTAGTGAGATATAGGCACTTCTACTAACTGTCAATACAGAATTTTAAAACAAAATGCTCCAGGAGCACAAAGGAGGGAACAATTTTTTTTTGAGACCAACATCCTTCTTTTCTCATAGTTGCTTAAGGTAGAATTACCTGGATGAATGAGGCTACATGTAATAATCTATTAAAACCTAGAAGATGATGACTTATCTTCATATTTAGTTTGCACCAAGGGTTACTGAATGTGGATAAAAGCTTTGATCTCCTAAACTCGTTTAGGATTTTATTGGGACAGCATAGAAAGTATTGAGATAATATTTGGGAAGATTAAATTGAGCTAATTTAAAGCTCCTAAGTGGATATTAAGCTTTAAATCAGAATAAGGGATTTATGGTGCTTGTAAGCACTTTATTTTTGTTGCGTATAATGTTTTTTGGTGTGCTTGAAAACTTCATTTCCTTTACTTTTAAAAAAGCTGGACACATTTTTAATGTTTCTGATAGACGACAAGGATATATTTAGTGGACATAGACATAAAATTACCACATATTTGAGATACGATCTCTTCATTTAAGTGATATTCTGAAGGAAAATGTCTGATGTTAGGAATCAAATACATGTGCTCTTTTTTTTGGTAAGATATTTTAGTTTATATATTTTCACAGTCTCAAGGAATTAAAAGATTACTTTCTTAATCTAGAGATTTTGGGGGTTGAATATAAAAATTATAGGAATATGCTTAAGCTTTAAGGCTATTTTTATTCAATATTTATATTTTACTTTGCAGTTATGATTTTGAATGACAACATGCAAAAACTGAAGGCTCGGTGTTTAGGAAATATTGTGGTAAAGTAAGCCAAAATTTCAATTCTATTTAAAAGGGCAAAAATGGGTGTATAATATTAAGAAAAAATGGAGTCATTGCAATGTTACTGCTAGTGAGGAGGTTGTAGAAAGAACTTGTGTGTTGTTTAAGAATTGTGTCAACTCTGTCTTGATTTAAACGTAGAAGTCCTATAAAATACAATGCATTTAAATGTGATTTTCAAAAACCATACATTTTGCATCTTTTTAAATCACTGTTTTTTCATTTTACAAGTTATGTATAAAGTTAACTTACATACAAAAATATGAACAATTAAATAAACTTTCTGTACTCCCACCTCTCAGCAATACATTATTAATTTTGTAATATGTATGTCTTTCTACATATTTCTTTTTTTGTTGTTATAGATTCAGGGATACATTTGCAGGTTTGTTTCATGGATATATTGCATAATTCCAGGGTTTGGGCTTCTAGTGAACCCATCACCCAAATAGTGAAGATATTACCCAACAGGTAGTTTTTCAAGCCTTTCCTCCCTCCCTCACACCTTTTGGAGTCCCCACAGTTTCTTGTTTTCATCTTTATGTTCATGTGTACCCATTATTTAGCTCTCACTTATAAAAGAGAACCTGTAGTCTTTGATTTTCTGTTTCTGATTTGACATTCCACTTTTTGAAAAACATTTTACGATGGTGAATCAATTTATCTCTGTGTATTCCTGTTTTCTCTTAACCTTGTCTCATAAGCATGTTTAATTTTTACGGCTTCTTAAAATTTTTATCCCCGTTGTAGGCTTCTTAGTATTTTTTGAATTTTTATGATTATAAATAATACTGTATTGAAATCTTTTTGATCATCTTTTTCTGCTTTTCTGATAATTGCAATAGTACTGAAGAGATTTCTGAAAGTATAATTGCTGGGTCAAATAGTAGCATCTTATAAAGTTCCTGATTTACCAAATGCCCCAACTTCTTGTTAACATTTTTTTTTTATCATTGTTCATTTGATAGGCAAAATGCTTCCATTTAAAGTAAAAATTTTTAATTTATTTTAATTAAATCAAGACATGTACTTTAAAATTGTTATGCTAGTGGAAGCAGAAATGGAAGTTGATTAAGTTAGAAGGTTTATAATATGTGATATTTTAATAATTGATAGAGAAGTTGCTTTAGTCCCTCTGATTAGCATGATATTGACATCTTTACGGATAGAGGTTAGTAGTAGAATTCACCACACTGAGCTACTATAAATACAGAACATTGTATATCAGGTTTTAAGTTATTTGCTTTCCTATTTATTTCTATTGGAAATCAAAAGAACTCTTATTGCTTGGCATTCTTAGATTGGCATAAGATTGCTTCCTGTAAAGAAGATATTTTAAATTCTATGAAAATTACATGAAAAGCAGTAGTTAAAATAAGATATTTGTTCAGGTAGAGACATTTTAACTTTATAGAAAGCTAATAGAAAACGCACGTTATGATATAATTCTTCTCATGCTATTATCAGTAAACATGTAAGCACTATATTACTTTGTTAAAAGTTTCCATTTTAAGAAAACATATCCAACAAGATGAAAAAATTAAATATTGAACATTTCATTTTTATTCACAATTCTCTGAAACAGAATCTGTATTGACATAGAGCTGGTTCAAATTTGACCTGTTCAAAGGAAAAGCAGCAGGAGAAGGGAAACTTGTCAAAGAAATTAGTAATTTGAACATGATTGTGGGTGGATGTTTAGCTTGCTTAGGGAATAACATGGTTTTTGAGAGCTTTTCGAAGCACTTTAGCAGCATACATTTTTATATAACCTCCTAACTTTGTGAGTCATCTATTCCATCTTCCACAACCTGTTGCAAGATTTCAGAGGTGGTATTTGATGCCAGCACAGTTTTAAACTCCTCATGGGTTTTATCACTCTCATTATGGGATACTTCATCCCCCATCCATTCAGAGATAATAAAATATAGCAGTGTCCTACATAAACTGTAATTTTTTCTTATAGCCATTAGTGTTATTTCAAATACTTAAAAGTAACACAACTATTGCCTTAAAGCATTCTATGGTTTAGATAGTCACTAATTCACAATTATTTTCCCCTCTGTATTCCTAAGATAATTTTATTGCACAGATCTAGGTTTCTGAGATTTAATTATAAATTATTTGATGATGTAATATGACAAACAGTAGAATTTGATTCCTCTCTTAGGTTAACAGTGAAACTAGATATTTGAATATATTATAAATTTTTTATTAGAAAGGTAAGATAAGGTAGAAATAATCAGGAAACAAAGGTTACCACCAAGATTTCTCTCTTTCACAGAACATATTTTGAAACCTTTTTTCGGAACTCATTTTATCTATGAGAGCAAGAATTTCCTTTTGAAACCCACATTGCCAGCAGCCATTCCACCCTAACTTATCAACCTGAAAATTATTCACATATCCCAATGGCTGCATGCAGTATGTGTAGGATCATTTTATATTTAATATCTGTAACATTTCACATTACATATCTGATGACTCATTTGTGTAAGTTCACATTTAGAAATAGTAATACATGGAAACAAGTAAACAAAAACCAAAAAAACCCTTTGACCCACTTAGATTTTTCTACATTCTTTTTTATGGCATTCTGAAAATCACTGCTTTGTTCTCCTGGGGACCCCTTGACTAGAAGGAGGTGGCCATTTTAGCAATTCCTAAACTACCATACGCCTTAGAATGTAATAAAAAGGAATCCTGCAGTTTTCGTGTTTTATTAGATGATTTTCATTCATAGAATTTATCCTTCTAGTAGAAGAGAGAACTTCATGTCCACATGAATGTTAGAAAATTCTTTTGATTTGGAAACCTATTCCAGGCAGTTAATTTAGTAGGAAAGTTATGGTATCTGAATTCCTATGAATACAAAACACTCATGAATTTTAGAAGGTGTTCCTACAATTGCGTCTAGAGCTCCAAAGTGCAGAAATAAAACTATGAGTCAGTAATTTCCAGGCAACAGAGAACAGGGCATGAAAGAAAATTTTAACTGCAATTGCCTTTCTCTGTAGCACAGGCTCACTGTTATTAAAGCCATAGGTCTCTGGCTCTTTCTCTCTGATGGGCAAACATTTTTCTCTGACCGGATCCGCTGTTGCTATTGGAAATGTGGCCAGTTCACCCTGTGCTGTGCCCTGGAGGCAATAGTGAGTGGGGTGTGAGGGAGTTGTATGGGATTGTCCCAGTGGCTTTTACTTTAGTGCCTGCCAATTTCTCATTCTTCAGATATGGTTAACGATATCTGTTCACACGTTTACAGCTTTGAGTGATACAGTCACTGTGTTGCCATCTTGGGAAAGAGCCAGGGAAGCTTTCTTTTCATTCAGGTATCCTTTGCGTATAACTAAGCATGTCACATACTTATAATCCTGTTCCTTTCTAAATCTCATATACAGTTTGGAGTATGATATTTTATTAGCCTTATAACATCACTAGGAGGTAGGCAATGGACAGACATTATCTTCCTCATTCTAGACATGAGAGATTATGCAACATTAGTAGTTGCACAGCTGGAGCTCACATTATTACCTAGTCTTTTGTCTGCTCCGAGGGAAAGAAATTATGTTCGGTCTCTTGTGGGGAGATAAAAAGTAACTTCATGTAAAAATCTGAAAATCCTAAGGACACCATAGGAAATACTGACAGTGCAAAGTTGGGATTTAACCCAGATCTCTCTGGGGAACTAGTTTCAATTTATTTCTTTTGCTATGGAAATTCCAAATGGAGCAGTGAATATAGACCATCTTTTTTCTATGCTAGGAGGCATCTTGGATTTTAATATTTCAGATTGGCCAGGAATGTGTTACCTTCTAGGGTGATGGACATCCTTTTTCCTGACCTAGCTGTTTATGGATTTCTCAGCACTCTGCTTCCCTTCCCACATGGGTATCACTGCTGCCTCAGTTATTCACCTTTCCCCTTCAGAATGGTCTTTTAGGAAAAGAAATTCTCTAAGAGAACTCTCAATTCATAATTGGATGAGTTGTACCAACGCCATCTTTCACTCTGCTTGGCAGAGTTGGGCAAGGCATCAAGGGTGGTAGCATTTGCTTTCAAATTTGAAGGGTGAGTATAGGTATTAACTAGTTCATTTCTTAGTATTTTTTGCATCTTTCCCTTCCTTCTGCCAATACAACACACTTTTACATTCTTGTAACTACGTTAAAAAAGTTATTTCTCTGTAACTTTAGAAAAGGAGCCCCAGTGCACCCATTGTTCCAGAAAAAAGATCTTCACTTAATGTGTAATAATCCTTAGCAATAAGTAGAAAGATGTTAATTTGGAATATTGCAAAAAAAAAAAAAAGCCTGCTGTAGCTCATATGTACCTAATGTCTATCTGGATCTTACTGACTCTTTTTCCATGTTTTCATTCACTGATCACATTTTCTTCTCACATGTTTGCATGTGTGTGTGTGTGTGTGTGTGTGTGTACACACATAATACACACACACACACATATGCACACACAGCAGTCCCTATCATATGTAGTTTCACTTCGTGCAATTTCAGTTACCCGTGGTGGACCACGGTCCGAAATTATTAAATGGAAGATTTTAGAAATAAATAACTCACATGTTTTAAATTGCACACCAGGAGTAGGTGATGAATTCTTGTACTGTCCCGCTTAGTCTTGCCAGGATGTGACTCAGCCCTTTGTCCAGTGCACCCATGTTGTCTGTGCTACTGCCTTTTAGCCACTTAGTAGCCGTCTTGGTTATCAAATCAGCTGTCAAGGTGTTGCAGTTCTTGTGTACAACTAACCTTTATTTTACTTAACAATGGCCCTAAAGCGCAATAGTAGTGATGCTGGCATATTGTTCTAAGTGCTCTATTTTGATGTTGTTGCTGTTCATCTCTTACTGTGCCTAATTTCTAAATTATACTTTATCATAGCTATGTATATATAGGAAAAACATATTTAGGGATCAGTACTACCATGCTTTCAGGCACCCACTGGGAGTCTTGGAACACATTC